TTGCTTCAGATAGTTATTTTGGACTAGATTAATTACTGAAGTATTGTCAACAAAGTTGATTCACATCTCGGCTCAGAAACATGGAAAACTCTCTTTAAAACATACTAACTTGAATTCTGAAATGCAGGAAAAAGAGCATAAAGTATACCTTTGACTTACTGAACTTTCGTCTCATTTAAGAAATAGTGGTTTGAAAACTCCTGCCCAGGAACGTGCACACAGAATTTCCATGTGCATCATTAGCAACTGGGGAACATACTTCAGAGGCCAAGTTTAGTCCCTCATTGATCTTAATTCTACTTTAAATATTAACACAAATGTGTAGAGTGAAGGCGTTCAGAAGGAAGCTCTGCCATCTTAGTCACGCTGCACAGATCATATATCTGGATTAAGTTTTTGAGCGCTTCATAATATCCTTCGGTCCTTTGGACCTTGTGTATAGCATTGCTGCAAAATAGGATGGCAAATGTATTTGTAGAGCTATCAGCAGTCTCCCAGAAACCTCCTGTGGGAGCGCTGGCGGGCGATGCCTCAGGAGGCAGGTAGGGTGGATTTGCCGTGTTTGCATATACTGGCAGGTTAAAGGGGAGGCAGTGGGAAGGCAGGCTGGTTTGAGTCAGTGCGAGACAGTGCATCTCTGTCCATTAGTTATTCATTCAAATTCAACCACATGAAATACGCTCAGCTAACAAACCATATCTTGTAAATGCCTTTTATTCCAGCAACTGAAATTCAGCACATTTGTAGGTGTGCAGCTGGGTGTGCTTAGCATGAATGGCAAACTAATGTAAATCCTGTATGAAGTATTTTGTTTCATAGCAGATCTCACACATATATGAGAGAAGTCTGTGCAGGTCTCTGGTAGCATAAAGTCCTATGGCATACAAGTAGAAACTACACAGATGATATGAATATAGAGAATAACACACAAAGAACACCCTTTTTTAAGTGAATCTATCATTCATATAAAATCAAATCTGTATCCATTGAAAGGCCATTGAAAGGCTTTGAAAGATGTTACAAAGCTTTAGAAATGGTCCATGCTGAACATGGGATGTTTTTTCCAAGCCTTATAAATAATTATTTTCCTATGTTTGGTAAGATTAGCTATAGACAATTTATATTAAGGCTCCGTGGAGAGGAGTACAGAATTTCAGATAATATTAAGCTGAAAAGGTGGTTTAAAAATGTTTCTATGATACAAAAGCCTTGCATCAAAGAGGCAAATACACCACCGCCTCAGTCTCTTTTCTCATTTATGAAATAAGTAAGCATAAACTATAAATTCTAATTTTCAGCAAGTATGTTAGTAAATCCAAACTGACCTTGACCTTAGCTTTGCTAATTTCCAAACTCTGATATTTATTCCCGGAGTAGATTGTTTCCCTTCATACCACATCCATAAATACTGCAAACCTTTCCAATGATTTGAATTAGAGTGTAAGTAAATAGCTGGTTTTAATCTACATAATATTTTGAGAGCAGACGTTCTGTGCTATGACTATTAAGATATACCCGGCAGCCATTTGTATAATACTAAAACCTCTTACATATATTATTAAAAGTAATGCTATCAGCCAGGGCTTGTTTTATGCCACAGAAACTTAAAATAATAAAATACAGTGTGGATAAAATCTGCAATAATAGTAACTTAAGCAAAATTAATTTAAGTAACAGATAACATCTGGGGGAAAATGTAATGGTATATTGGTAAGTTATGCAAAGCTAATTTTATAATAACTACCACATCTGTGGAACTCATTTATTAGAATGCTTTACCAATCTTCTTTCCTGCCATTATTCTGTTTTAGAAATTTTCCTGTATACTGTTTTATTGTCTTTGCTCTGCCTACGTTTATAAAAAGGTAATTTACTAGCTCTCAACAACAAGGAAAGTATGTGGGTTTATGTACAGGACAACATGACACTTTTTATACTTACCTCTCTTTATGTACATTTTTACTTGAAAGAATTCCAGAGAAAAATTGTGGCATAGGGCTGTACATTGAGAGCAATGTTTGAACACCAGCTACAGTCCTCAGCTGTGATTACGCCGAGGCTTGATGCAGCTGGGGTGGGAAAGTAAAGGTGATGCTGAATGATATTTCCCACATTAACCTCTGCTAAATGTTAGAGCAGCTTCTAGCCTGCTCTAACTTGTCCAGCTTCAAGTGGCCTTTTGGCATGCCACTGCACCTAGGAATTAGTAAGAATATTGCATTTAACTTCTGCTCCCGCCCGTCACTTTTGGAGCATCCTTTTATCTGCAGCTGACACCGATATGCCCTCTATATTTGTGCAACTGCCTTACGATTTCTTTATGTTTGAATTCTCATGGACCCATTGGACTGCAATGTGCAGGAAAATATTGCCAATTAATTTAAAGGCATTATCATCTTGCCAAACTGTTTCTCAAATTTCGATAGTTATATTGATTCAAGAGGACACTTTGAGTAATACATCTTTGTCATAGTGAATAATGCTCACATAATGACAAATCTTCAGGAATTTCAAAAAGGAGGATGAATTTTTTAATGTAGGTCAGTGGAAGTAATTCACCATAAATTTACTCAGACTTCAGAAACTAGCAACATTTTTTTAAAGCCACTGTAACTGTATAAAACTTACTGTGTCTCCTTCTCTGTTTTTAAATAGATTTTACTACAGAGCCGTTGGTGCTATTAAACACGAGGTTTTGTTCAAAGGAAATACAAAGACTTAATTGTGTTTTTTAAAGGAAAGTATTGCATCAGAAGGATTCATTTAAATACGTTTGTTGGCTTTGGGCTCTCACCACAATTCATTCGTTCTAATTTTCCCCTGGACTTGTTAAGGACACAATGTATAGGAAGGAGCAATGCAGAATGGCATTTTTAGGTCACTATATTTTGGCTGTAAACTGTAGCACTGCTCATAAACTTATTATTACTAAACAAAATACTTCATATTCTACATTGAAGTTACACAGTCTTTTAAAAAAACTTTTGGCTGAATGTTGAGGCTATTACGGCTCATTAAAGAGACTAGTTCTGCTGTAATTTAGTTATTTCTTAATGATCCAAGGGTTATTATTAGACACGGAACAGAGGAGTAAAGAATGGCTCTCTTTAAAAGGATGCAGTGAAGTAAAAATATTATTCTAAAACAGAACCTCTGAAAATCTTATCCATGCTACAAAAATGTATTTGATCATCCTGGAATTGATTTTAAAAACCCAGTCTAGGTTTTTTACATTATTTCATTTTTTGCAATTTGGACTGCAGGGAATAAATGGAATAATGATTTAATCTAAATAAAGAAAATATTTTGAGTGAATAGTTAACTAACTAACCGAAAAATGTTATTTTAAGGAAGTAATTGTGAATTCTCATCCAATTCAGCTAATATTTTAAAATGAGAAAATATAAGGTAAGAAATCAGAGAAAATGGAATTATTTGCTAAATCAAAAGAGCTCTAGTTTAAAAAAAAAATCAGAATTTGAAAACAAAGCTTCTTTTTATTTTAGAAAGAATAACAAGCAGCTCAGCTTAAGGCTTTTTCATTTTGCCGCAAAAACTAAACTTTCTGACTATTCTTTTTGTGAGTCTGTAGGCACTAGCAGAGTGCTGTAAAATTTGATTCATGAGTGATACAGGAAAATGCTTCTATAAAATCTGGTTTTCTCCTCACTTAAATTCTGGAAATATTTCTGTCAGCCTTTTGGGTTCTTATAAATATGGGCTAACACTGTCTACCTTTTTTTAGTGAGCTCACACGACAGGGAATCTTGAAGATAATGACAGAGCCCAAACATAACTGCTGAAAAGCTTTCAGGAATACAAAAGAGATTTTTAATGCAATAAAGCGCAATGGCTATGTCTCACCATTTATTTTAAATTTTTACTATCACTGTTTTCAAATGTATAGAATCTTTAATATTTTCAGTATGTTTAACTGTAGCAAGTAACTAAATAAACCAAATAGCAACCTAGCTATGATTTCAAGGTATGAGGAAATTAATTTATGGGAGCTGCAATTACCCTGATGTGAATTAATGTGGTTGACTTACACCATCCAAGCAAAATCATGTTTGTAATAGCTGACTCAGAACTGGAACATCTGCCTGGTATTCTCTGTGGGCACTTCCCATTGTAGAGGCCCCAAATGTACCATTTTAGTATTATACCTCATTCCTTGCTTGTTCAAAAATGCCTTTTGTCACCATATTTGGTATATATGTTCTCTGACGTGCATTTTTTTCAAAAAAACAGCACAAAACATTGCCCCTTTAGAGGACACAGGGCCACCTTCTGCATCACTCATGAAAGCCCCAGCACAGACTAAGTGCTGCATCCAGCTCCTCTGGGGGGAAAAAGCCATTTCCTGGTCAGAGCATTCCTGGAGCCGCAATTCACATGCCAGCAGAATACCAGTGAGGTTCCCATGTTCACAGGAAAGAGAAAGAGAGGCAAGTTGATGAAGCAGCAAAACTTGGACCATTAGCGACTCTTAAATTATAGTCATATTAAAATGTTTTTCTTAGGGCCTTATTTCATGCAATGTCACTAGAAGTGTACGCCAACTGACTCCTTTGATAGAATACCCTAGTGGTCAGCTGGCCCTTTAATTCCAAAATGCAACAAGATCCCCGTTCAGAAGTGACAAATTTGCATTGGGAATACTACATGTTACCTAAGCTCTGTGTTTTCTAAACTTAATTATCCACATGAGTAAGAAGCTGTAGTGTTATGAAATTATGAAAATCATCTGTTCTTTCCAAGTATTATAAAGAGGGCCCCTTGAGATGCAGCTAGAAATTAAAGCTGATCTATAATCATTTTCAGTATGCTTTCCAGTTCTGAGCACCTGGATAGTAACAAGAAAGGTATTGGTTTTTGTTGTTTGCCAGCCATTTCATTTCCATTTAAGAAATTCTGCAATAAACCTCTGAGCAATAATTAAACTTGAATTACTTTTTTCTTCTTTTTTCTTTTTTTTTTTTTTTTTTTTGTACTACCAGTATGTGATTGAACTTGCCCAACCTGCAGTTCCCCCCTTCCCTGCTCTGCTGGAAGAAGGCATACCTTTGGATATCAATTCGTCATTCATCATATCACCAACAGCTGCAGAGACAGAATCTAAGGTATAGAGTTTTGTTCCTTTTTTTTTTAAATTATTTTTTAAAGCTGCTTTTCTATGATTCTCCTACCTCATTCATTCCCACTGGAGCCCAGCCACTAATGACATTTATTCTCCAGAATATAGCATGCATTCTCTTCTAAGAAATTACTTTTAATGCATTAATCAGTCAGCAGAGGACACTTATTTGAGTCAGCACCTCTGGGCTCTTGCCCCATGCAACTTCCTAACATCAGGATCTGCCTGGCCTGGGCACTGAAAGAGGGACTGACGGTCTCTGTCAGAGTGGGAGGTCTCAAAAGCAGGCTTCGTGTGTTGTCACATGTCTTTGGGCTGACACTGTTTGGTCTTGTAGAGAGCAGAAGGATGTACTCACACATTTCTTGTGGTTCGTTGCTGCTAGGGGTCTGATCAAGAGGGTTACCTGGAAGAGCCCTGCCCAGAGGCAGAGTCCTTCGAGGCAGGTGCTGTGGCTGGTGTCACTGCTGAAGATCAGAAGTCTGCAGTGGGTGAAATCTCAAATGAAATTATTGGCAACCTTGAGGTACTATTACTAGAAAGCTGTTCACTAATTCTGTCTATGGTTAATTATCTAGCTCAGCCTTAATGAATATAAACTGTATTCCTGCTAAAGCTGGCAAAAAGCACATCCATATGCTGTGAAAATGTGAATTAGCCTCTATAAATAACTCCTAGTTTAGTCAGCTTACATGTGATAAGATAAAAAATACTCAGTAATATAACAACATATATCTTCAGCAGTACTATGTGTTAAGAAACATGGGCCAAATCCTTCTCTCAGTGATGTCAGTGATAGAATTCCTTTTCAGGATCAGCTGGTCTGATGGAGCATATGCAATGTATGCTTAATATGAATTGTTAGATGCATCTATGTTACACATCCTTCAATCTGTTTAAGAAATAACGCATTTATGCCAATTCTAGACTTCATTTGGTAGGTGCATAACTATATGAGAGCTGCCTTAATGGAACAGATCAGGTTTCAGTACGTGGTCTGCAGACTCTGAGGAGACCATGAGTTCTTGCTTCTGGGGTCCATGAAAGGGAAGGAAGCTGTTGTCAGTGGACTTAAATTTGTTGTAGGGTGATCTGCTTCTCTACAGGGAGGTCTGTAAATTGAAACATGTGAAAAGCCAGCAGAGTAGATCATTGTTAGTTTGTAAACTGCTCCCTCAAGCATATGCAATTATTGAAAGCAAACCAGCTAGAACTCAGTTCCACCAAGGAACTGGTGGAATTTGATCTTATTTGCAGCAGCCAGGTGGCATTAAGCACTTTAAACTTTAGATGCAGCACATTGGACACTGTTGACCGAGCAGCAGTTTATTAAATATCTAATATTATCTGAAAAGAGTTTGATATTGATAAATTACTTTACATGGATTATGTATGAATGGGAAATATAAATTAGAATAATGATGCCATCATTAGATCTACCTATTTGATTTCATATTCAATTTCAATATGTCTTCAGAAACAGGAGGGAACCTGGTCTCTGTTGTCTTATTCCTGTCTCTACCTACAGAAAAAATGAAATGCCTGTTTTTCACTTGACCTTGATTTCATTAGCATTGGTGCCAAGAGCTTTTTTTCTTCACAAAAAAATGCACAGATGAGAAAAATGCCCTTTCTTCTTCTTCTTCTTCTTCTTCTGCAAATCTGGTTATATACACAGAAAATAATTTCCGTTTAGTTTCTAAAAGTCTGCCAGCAATGTATCTTTTTCACCTGGTTTCTCAGTTTCTTGACCTCTGAGGTAATCTTATCATTAGATTTTTACCTGATACATGGTCAGACTCATACCGTTTTGTTGTTAGGTGTGAACTGTGATTCACAATCTACATTATGTCTCCAGGGAACATAAGGCAGCTGTTGCTCTAGTTGAGTCTAGAAAATAACTTATAGTCTGAAATCACAGTGCTGACACTCAGTGATCACAACAGCAGCCATCGTGAAGTATAGTGGCAGCTGATTTTCACTGAAGGTAGAATCAGAGACAGAGGGATGTAAAAACTGGAGAAGAAAAGGCAGCTGGGGTGGCTGGGAGAGGATTAGCGTAGAGGATCAGCATTCCACAGCAAAGCAACTAAGTTTGCATATAATGTAAAGGGATGGGGGCATATTTGTGGATATTTGAGGGTGGATTGAGTATGGTGAAGGCCGTCTCCAAAGATACAAAGTTTGAGATAGAAATTCCAGCTTTTTGATGCTAATCTGAGCTGATGCTAATTTGAGCTACTGCAAACTCTGAAAACATTTTAGCTGTGGCTATCCATTGATGGGCTGCAATATAGACTGGTAGGGATTTCTAGGACTGGCAAGCCAAAAAGCTCCTAAAATGGCAAGTACTGCAAGCTTTTCTGGGCCAAATCCATGCACTTTACCAAAATTACACAAAGTCCATTAAGAATGTAACTATAAGTTTTGAAACAGTTTACGTGGGGTCTGTGAAGGACCTTTGAGCCTGTTCCAGTTGTTTGAACTAACCTTTGCAACTCTTGGAAAGACTATCATTGTGCTCCTGCCATTTCTCATGTATTTTTGCAGTGATGAATGCTGATATTGAGAAATATACATAAATTCCCCATAAAACCCCAGTTTTTGTGGCCTTTTTCAGTGATGCCACATTTCCAAATGCTATAGAATTAAAGATTGCTATGCGTCATCACTGCCAAAGATTTCACTAAAATATGTCACAACCCTTGTACCTTCCCCACAAATGTAACATTGTAAATTTGCACTCAATGTCTACAGCAGTCTGGATTTCCAGAATGAGATACACATTCATAATTGTGTTTGTAATTAAGAAAGACAAGCAACATCACAGAAATATGGTTTTTTATTGTTCACTTTCAGTAATGCTTTCTGATTCCAGCAATGTTTCAATAAAATGCATTACACTAGAGAACAAACATCTGCAGCAAAGGAAAACAGTGGCAACAACCAAATCCCAAAGCAATTTTTCTGATTTGGTGTTTATTGGTAAAGGCTGTCTGAGAATACAGGCTAATTAGCCCATCTCCCAAGACAAGGTTACATGAGAAATGGCTGTCCCGGATCACTTCCTGTTCATGGCAGTCATACCATACATACATCGGAATTGTGCGCAGTAATATGATAAAGCGTTATCACCTAAGTACAGGCTGAAACACTGTTATGTCTGCAAAACAGGAAGGTGTGTAGGATAATGTCTTACTGGACTACAGTGTGTTAAAACCACAAAGACAATGTGCAGCCTAAGATAGCTCCATCACAACCACTTTTTTCTTCTGCTTTTCTTTACAGGCAGAGATAAATGAAAAGCTGCAAATGCAAGAAGCAGCTTATGCTTTGAGAACAGAAAGCTTAAAAAGTCCTAAATAGCCAGATAAGAAAGGTGATGTTGAATTTTACAGAAATTGGACAGTAGGGGATGGCGCGCACAGAAGACTGGCTCCCTGCCTGAACGTAATTATTTTTTGTATAAAGGAAAATGGTTCTGTTAACATTTACCTAGAACTAGTTCATCACAGTTCCTCAAATTTACTGTGTTCTGCCAGTGCTGTTATTTAGTTTAGGCTTAAATAGCAGATTATAAACAGAAGGATTTGTAATTGAAACATGTTGAAGTTCAGTTTATTTCTCAATAGAAATCCTAATTAAAAAAAAAAAAAAAATCGCTGTAGTTTCATTCTCTTTCCTTTTTCCAGTTGTGAAATATTTAACAGTTTCTGCTTTACACCTCTGGGTTTTTTTCAGGAAATTTTGCTAGAAGGAGAACACATAGAGAGAAAAGATCATTTCGAGGCACTGCAGATATATAATGAGGAGAGAATTTAATTAACGTGTAATTACAACCTTTTCACGGTAGTTATTCATTAATAATACGTATGTTATTTAATTTAAAATTGCTTCCTAAGCTTTAAAACAGATTTAATATCTGACACTTCTTTATTTCCACCATAACGGAACTGCGTAAAGGAAGAGTCTGCGCTTTCCCAGTATTCCCAAGCAGAGTTCCTTTTGATTTCGGTGGCGATTTTTCTGGAATTCCCCTGAGAACGTTTCCACATTTTTGCCAGCCGCGATGGAAATGGTTCAAAAGGAATCTGGCCAAAGAAATGATGTCCGTTCCGAAACCGCAGCCGGTACCAGTTGCCGCGTTCCGGAGCCCTGTGCCCTTGGAAAGCCGCTTCGACATTACGGCCACGCTCTCGGACGGGAGCACCTGCGGCAGGGAGCGGTTCAGCGGTGAGGAGCCCCGCTCTGCTCCCCACGACGACGGAGCAGCGGGGTCCTCCTTCGCTCCCGGCCGCCCTTTTTCCCTCACGGCGGGGACGGGGACGGGGACGGGGAGGGTTCGCCGTTCGCCGGCCCGACGGGGCCCGCTCCAGGCGCGGCCCGGCTTTGGAGGGGCGGGCGCCGCCAGCAGGGGGCGCTGCCCGCACG